TGAGCAGAGGGGAATGATCACCTCCCCTCGATCTGCTGGCAATAATTTACCTAATGCATCCCAGAATACCATTCAGCTTCTTTGCTGCAAAGGCATGTTCCTGGCTCATGTTCAACTTGGTTTCCACTGGGATACCCAGGTCCTTTTCCTCAAAGCTGCTTTCCAGTTGGGCGGCCCCATCCTGTACTGGTGCCAGGGGTTGTTCCCCTCCAGCTGCAGGACTTTGCACTTCTTGTTGAACTGCATGAGGTCCCTGTCAGCCCACTTCTCCAGCCTGTCCAGGTCCCTCTGGATGGCAGCACGACCCTCTGGTGTATCAGCCCCTCCTCCCAGTTTGGTATCACCTGCAAACTTGCTGAGGGTGCACTCTGCCCCATCGTCCAGATCATTAATGAAGATGTTAAACAGCACTGGACCCGGTATTGACCCCTGGTGTACACTGCTGGTTACTAGCCTCCAGCCAGGCTTTGTGCCACTGATCACCATCCTCTGGGTCTGGCTGTTCAGCTAGTTTTCAATGGATCTCATTGTCTGCTCATCCAGCCCATACTTCAACAGCATCTCTGTGAGGACCTTGTGGGGAGACAGCATCGAAAGCCTTCCTGAAGTCCAGGTAGACAATATCCTCCGATCTACTAAGCCAGTGATTTTGTTGTAGAAGTTTCTCAAGTTGGTAAAGCATGACTTCACTTTGGTGAATCCATGCTGACTACTCCTGGTTACTTTCTTGTCCTGCATGTGCCTGGAAATGGTTTCCAGAATTAGCAACTCCATTACCTTTCTGGAGATTGAGGTGAGGCTGATCAGCCTGCAGTTCCCTGGGTGCTCCTTCTTGCCGTTCTTGCCCTTCTTGAAGACATGAGTGACATTTGCTTTCTTCCAGCCTTTGGACACTTCTGCCAATCACCATGATCATTCAGAGATCATTGAGAGAGGCCTTGCAATGATATCAGTGAGCTCCCTCTGCATCCATGTGCCCATGGACTTACGTATGCCCAGTTTGCTTCAGTTTTCTCTGACCTGATCCCCTTCCACCAAGGTTATGTCTTCCTTGCTCCAGCCTTTCCCCCTGGTCTCTGGGGCCTGGGATTCCTGAAGGCTGGTCTTGCTAGTAAAGACTGAGGTGAAGAAGGCATTCAGTACCTGAGCCTTTTCCATGTCCTATGTCACCAGGTCCCTCGTCTCATTCAGCAGCAGGCCCTATCCTTCCTTTTGTCACCTGTCTACTTATAGAAGCCCTTCTTTTTGCCTTTAACATTCTTGGCCAGATTCAATTCCATTTGGGCTTTGGCTTTCTTAACCTCATTCCTGCATGCTTGTGTAATGCCTTTCTATTCCTCCCGCATTACCTGCCCCTGCTTCCACCTTCTACATGCTTCGTTTTTGTGTTTGTGTTTTGTCAGGAGCTCCTTGTTCATCCATGCAGGCCTCCTGGCATTTTTGCCTGACTTTCTGCGTGCTGGAGTGGACTTCTCTTGAGCTTGGAGGAGGTGATCCTTGAATATTAACCAGCTTTCTTGCACCTTTTTTCCTCCAGTACCTTGTGCCACTGCACTTGTCCAAGGAGATGTTTAAAGAGGCCAGAATCTGCTCTCCTGAAGTTCAGCATTGTGATCTTGTTTTTTGCCTTCCTCTCTCCTCCCAGGGTCCTGAATTCCATCATCTCATGGTCACTGAAGCCAAGGCTGCCTTCAACCTTCACAGCCCCAGCGAGCCCGTCATTGTTGTACATTGTACCTTAAATGATAACTTTATGCTCAGATACTTTGAATGAGATTTAAAGAATCAAGTCTTCAGAGTTGCTTGTGTTAAGAGAGTTTATCATTGCATAAACATAGCTTGCTATCATATCACCTGAAATGAGGAAAAAACATCTCTAAGTCAACAGATGAGTGATGATAGTCTTACAACTTTCCATGTTATTATCAAGCCTTCCTGCAAACAATGCCCAGTTTGTCACTGTGATACCTATTAATCTCAACTGGATTTATTTCACATGCCAGTAACAAGTACTTTTTTTCTGTAAGTCATACATCAACTTGTTCCCTTGTGGGAGAAAAAATTAAAAGAATGAAAGCAAAGTTGTAATAGACTTGGAGTACAAGTGCAACACTTTTTTGTTAAAAGTATCTTTAAATAGAAATTGAGGTTTTGAGTTAAAATTTTTTCCACTTACTTTTTGTTGTTCTTGACATCTCTGTTGCCAAAGATCTAAAGATTTTGCCTCAAAGTTGTTACGATTTGATCATTGCTTCTAAATAATGTATTTTATATGTAGAATCATAGAATGGTTTGGGTTGGAAGGGGTCTTTAAAGACCATCTAGTCCAACCCCCCTGCAGTGAGCAGAGAATGTGTTACCTTGGTCATCCTTTACATTACATTGTTAAATGTGAGCATAGTACCTTTCTTTGTAGCTGCAGAATGAATGCTTTATTTTTTCGTATCTCCGTGTAGTAGAGTTCTGCTGTGATACAATGGTATTTTGAGTGTGCTGACATTGCTTGTTTTAATAGTTGCCATGCTATCTTATGTATTTAGATTTTTGGTATTTTGCTCAAATTGAAGAGATAAATAACAGGGATGAACAATGTTGTGTGTTACAACGAGTAGAAGAAAGGAGGCAGAGTAGAAGTATGAAGTACTGGGGATAAATGAATGCATTGCTAAGGACTCTGGTTGCCATGTGGCAGTAGATGCTAATCTACTAGATTGGTAGAATGGACCAGAGCAGAAATTACGTGTTTACTCCCTTAACGAGAGGTCATTCGAGGTCAGTGTGGAAGCGTGGCTTTAAACACAGAGCTGCAGGATATCGTGTACTCTGTGCCAGAGTACGGACCTCATGTTCTGCTGCATTGTTGGGGTTTCCTGAGAAGATTGAGTAGCTCTCGGTTATTTTATGGCAAGCATCTGAATGCCTCCTTCAGAGCACAGCTGTCTACTTAACCTGTTAAGAATTGTCGTTTGGTAGAGACGGGGCAAGGTACTAGCACACGGGCAGACCCACCACCCGTGGCAGCAGCACTGGTCTGGCAGCCGCCTGTCTTCTTGTTGTGCAAGTGACTGCCGCATGTGGGAGGCAGTTGATTGTGTTTATACCATGTGGGATGATTGCTGTCTCCACAAATTGGATTATTGCGGATGAAAATCACAATTCTTTTCTTGTTGCTGTGTGAGTTCTTCTACTAAATGCTTGGATAGAGGTTTATGTTAATCCCTGTCACCAGATTACAGGTTTAAAAAGGCTTGCTTAGAAATCAAAACCTGATGTTGCAGCCTTCTCCAGATGCTCAGTACCATTTGGTAGAGTTGTGGCCATTTACAGTAGTTGGGGATCCAGCTCAAAATTCATTACGCATGTGAGAGAATATCTGATTAAAGGAAAGGCAGCAGCCTGCATAGCCAGTTTAGCCTGATACAATTCAAAACAGAAGGAGAAAGGTACATCTGTTGTGAAGAGCAACAACAACAGCATGCTTTGCATTTCCTATCAGTGACATCTCCAGTGTAATCCTTTTATCTCTGTTGGCTTGTTTATTTTACCTGTCAGCCTTCCTATTTTTTATTAAACTCCTCTGGTTTCTTTAGTATGCCAGTTGTACAATCCTACCAGAGAACCCACTCTTGGAGTAATATTTTCCAGGATTGTTTCTAAATCCCTGCTGAATTTTAAATTCACTGCTGTGACCAAGCATATCCATTTGTTCCACCTTAGCACTTCATCACACCACTCTTACCAAAACCGTTAAGCATCTGCGCTGGCATGCCCGTTGGCCTGGCGGGTTGTGTCATTGTGGCGTTACTTCAGCCTGCTAACAAACGTGCTGAATTTGTAGGATTTTGACATTTGGTTTAATCTGTACTGCATTCCAATAATGAATTCATGGATTTAGAAAAGAAAAAAAAAAAAAAAAAGAAGAAATAAAAGGCATATCATATCATTTAGAAGCACAGAAGCAGGGGCAGGGGCTGAAGCGACAGGGGAAGGTGCCGAAGGGGTGCGGTGACAGGATTGTACGTGTCTGGGGCAGCCAGGGAGATCTGCCTGCGTCCTGGGCTTTGTTGCAGGTCAAGGCGAAGGGACACTTCCTCCCAGTGGGAAATCGAGAAGGGTCTCCCTGGGGGATTTTCCCTGGCTCCTAGGAAGGTGCATTCTGCAACAAAGTATTTGGAAAAGTTGTAGTAGTAGAGCCTTGAATCATGATGTGGAGCTTACTCTTGCTATAAATGAGGTGGGCTGGAGTACGTAAACAGGAAAAAATTTCTAGATGTTTGGTTTGGGCAGGGAAGACGAATTCAAGTTCTGGGCCTGTTCTTAAAGGCCTGGGTCATTTAATTTTTAGCTTACGCTATTTCTAAGTAACAAATCAGTGAGTTTTCTTTGATACAAGTTCTTACATTTTAATGTAGTTTGGGTATATTAATTAAAGTTTAGCAAGATGAAAAGTTAAAGTATTGCATTGCAGAAGCTGGATTTTTGTGGAGACAAAAATACCCCATTCCTTCTCAGAGCATCCTACATCAGAGACCTCAGACGAAACTCCTGGTACTTCTTTTGCAGATTACGTCAAGAGAATGACATGGTTGACTCGGCTCCTCAGTGGGAAGCTGTGCTACGGCGACAAAAGGAGAAAAACCAGGCAGATCCAAACTACCGGCGATCCAGGCACAGATCTCGATCGTATGTAACCCTTGCCCTCTTTGATGTGACAATTAAGGCTGCTGTGAAAGCATGTGAAAAAGCAGGAGGAGTATCTCCAGTGTGGTGATGGCCCTCAGCTGCTGAGGAACAGAGACTTTCACATGGCACATTCTCACGTTAGTAGATTTGTTTTTGTGGTCAAACTCCCTTCGTCTAGTGATTTGAATTTCAACGTACAAATAACGCAGGAAGGGCTTTATAACAGAGCTGGTCAGGAACTCTCTCCATCACCTTGGGTGGAGTCCTGGATGGTTTTGTGTCTCATTGAACATTAATTCTGTAATGAGGATAGCAATTCCCTTTTTCTGGGCAGCAAGTCTCTGAAAGCATTCAGATTTTGTGTGATAGGTGCAGGCATTTTTGTGAAATGCATGCACAGTTGTTTAATCATATAACAAACATCTGCGGTATTGTTCCAGATGAGACCAGCTGCTGATGTCTCCATGTCAAATTACCATTGGCAAGCAGCAGTCAGTGATATATTGCGTCCTGATGTCAGGATTTCTGTGATGGAACCATGCTGCCAGGCA